ACTTTTGGTGGCTACTTGCAATCCAAGGTATTTCAGTTCATAAACTTTCTTATTTCTATTATCAAAGCAGTTCTCACTAGAGATGCCTAATAATGACGTATAGCTAGTTAGGATCTAACTGATGGTTGATGATTTTGAATGCAGATAAGGTGCTATAGGTGTAAGAGCAACTCAGAGCGATGTGAAAGAATGATGGATCTTACTGTCGAGATACATGGTGACATTGCTACCCTTGATGAAGCACTTTCCTGTTTTACATCTCCAGAAATTTTGGATGGGAAGAACAAGTATGAGTGTGACAGGTTGGTCTAATCATGTTATTTAACTGATTGACATGAACATTCTCCTTTCTTTGTCACCAATCTTCAAATGTTGGGTTTATAATCCCTGAACCCTTAATTCCAGGTAACTCTGACCATAAGGACTTGATTAATAATCTGGACGACCTAAATTGTATTTATGGTATTATGAACAGAAAAGATAAGACAGATACCTGAGTAATGAAATAGCTTGGAATGACAGAATGTAACTTTAATATATACTTCAGCTAATCCTAGATCCATCCCAGATCAAGTTTCTAATCTCAAGTGGAGGAACATTTAGAGAGAGTACTAATGACAATAGAACAGATGAAGTAGGAGGGGATTTCCCAATTCATAGGCATCTCACACTCCTGAAGTTCCTGTCTAGTCATTGCGGGTCTGAATCACCTTCTCTGTGAACTCAACATTGCAATGGAAACAAAAACAACCCCATAATGTGGACACATTATAAAGTATAAGAGGCTCCATCTGTTACCGTAATTTATCTACAATAAGGAATTTATTGGATGAATCACAATGAGCCACATCTTGCACTCCTAATGTTCCTCCCTAGTCATTGCAGGACTGAATCACTTTCTCATGTTGAACCATGGAACTCAATATTCATCTTTTCAATATTTTAGATAAATCATTGTTATGTGCATTTGTGATTATGGTCTGTTCACAAAATTAAAAACACCATGTTGGCTTCTTACTTCACAACCTAATATTGGATTAGGATGGTTTCCTGGAGGAACAATGCTACATAATTTATGACATACATTCTAGGGTAAGAGACATTGTGAAGTATTTATGACATTCAAACTTGTTTGGTTGTGATCATAGAACAAACCATTTTCCTTTTGGAGGTTTAGTTTGGAAGAATGGTTTCTGTCTGAGTCTGACTAGTTAGAATTTCTGTTTTGTGTACTAAATAACAAGTTTTTTCTTAAAAATAATGAATGCTATAGTGACTTAAAAGGGTTGGAGTCTACTTGACAAGCCCCACCTAAAACGGGAGTAACCCTAGCACATTGATTGTGAGGAAACATAATAAGTTGAATGGTCAATTAATAGAATCAGCCCAAGTTTAAAGATCAACATGATACTGGTGTATTTTAAGCTAACTAATTCTTGTATATTTTGTCTTGTGTTGAGGACAACAAAACAATTGGTAAGGGACAATTTGACCTTTAAGTTGGAATAGTGAGCTTTCTTAAAATATTGATATAGGATAATGTAAACTCAGTAACCTCTTCTCCTTTATGTTCCATGAGCAATGGAGTGAAACGCTTCAAGGACTTAGGGTACCTAAGGGTGTATTTTCACAAACGACATATACTGGGGAAACTGAAAATTAAAAGATGTAACATTTAATTGTCAACTCATAGACTAAATTGATCCTTAATAATCATATGTAGGATGCCACTTGTCACAGCCTTGACTATAGCAAGGTCAAGTTGTGCATCATCCAAAATTGAGGATTTTCTAGGTTCACTAATATTTCTATGTTGACTATTAATCTTGTTGGCCAAATTATGGTACCCGGATGACATTACAAATCCAGAAGTCTTGCTTCCATTATATTTTACCAGAGTTCTATCATTTCTTTAAAGTGGATGTAGTAGCCATTACAACTTTTATTCTGTTTGGTCATGCAAGTCAGATAGGACGGTGACCTTATTATGTCAGAAGTAGCTTCTCACACTTCTCACCGGTGTGGTTCTTCTGAGTTCTGACTACAATGATAGTCTCCACTTGCTTGCTCAACTTTTCCACAAAACTTCTTCTGATATAACTCAGCCCAACCCTGGGTGAATTCTGCATGTGTCTATTGTAAGGCAGTCTTTTTGTTAATGCCTTTGTGCATATAGTTTTACTACATATTTTCCCATGCTGATAATGGAACTCATGCACCGCTTGCTTTTTCTTATTAGATGCAAGTCTCGTGAGCGAGCAAGGAAAAGATTGTCAATATTGGAGGCTCCCAATGTCCTGACAATTGTATTGAAGCGATTTCAGGTAATTACTTATAGGGATGGCAGCAGGTGGGTCTTTTGAGCCACTTGGATCTAGTCAACTTTCTTAAACTGTATATGGTACCCTTTTTAATCAAGTTTGGAATGGGTTCACATTGGAAAATAGGCAGAAAGAATTTGGGCCGTGGGCTCAGGTACCTAGATCATTAATCAAATTGGTTTCAAGTACTCTTCCTGTTGTTATTCTTAATATGAGGTTGGATGGCAACAGGTAACTTCTTTTGTGTACCCTTTAATTGGGTTTGGGTTGAGTTCAGGTTGAAAAATACGTATCTGAGTTGGGTTTGGGTACCTAAAGAGCTGGTTGGTTTCATATTTGGGTGAAATTCGTAGGTACTACACCCGTTGCTATCTCTAAAACTCATAAACAAAGCACTCACTACTTTTTAACATTCAGCTTTTTGTTGAATTAGAAGTGATGTTTGCTTGTAACCATTTTAGATCATAGCACTATTTGGAATATTTTCTGTTGACAATTCAAATCAATTTCTTCTGTATGTCTTTGATTCTTTGTACAGTCTGGTAAATATGGCAAGCTCAACAAAGCTGTCCGATTTCCTGAGTACCTCAATTTAGCTCATTATATGAGCGGAGATGATGCATCCTCTATGTACCAGCTGTATGCGGTGATCGTTCACAAAGATGTGATGAATGCTTCCTTTTCTGGTCACTATGTTTGTTATGTGAAGGATACACAGGGCAAGTGGTACAAGATTGATGATAGCGAGGTATCCTACTTGTTAATTTCTTTTACTGATTGTGGGGCCTTTATGATGAACTTATTGTGGTTTTTTGATTGAGAATATGACTTCTGTTAGAATTGTCTAAATTATTTCAAAGCAACATTACATATTTGATTTGCTACAGGGCTTTAATTTGCTTATCTCTCAGATTCAATCAGTCATTTTACCTAAAATGTTGAAGATGTGCTTATCACATTATTCAAGAGTGATTTATGCAATAAATAAACACCTTTTTAGTATTCTCATAAACCTACATTTGGATCAGTCACTTTGTGGTATAATGACAGAGTTCAAATTCCATATCTCGTTGCATCTGTTTCATTTGGTCTCCCCAGTGATCATATGCTCTTTACTGGATTTTGAACACCAACAAAAAATCTAAATCGACAAGTTTATCAAGTGTTACTGAGGTGTATATGTTCATTCGACGATGAAATCACCTTTTATATTCTGCACAGGTAAAACCTGTGGAGCTCAAGAAGGTTCTGTCAAAAAGTGCATACATGCTTCTTTATGCCAGGTAAAGTTAAAGGTTCTGGAGCCGCATTCTTATTTCATTTATGTTTCTTAAATTTCTTAGTGAATTGGCATTTCAAATTAGGTGCTCACCTCATGCCCCAAGCTTAGTAAGGAAAGCAATCTCCCATGATCCTTTACAAGCAAGGAAGATCAGGAGCAAGGAAGCCAGTGGAAAGTCAGGTGGTTCATCAATTACAGAACAAAGGAGCCACTTCTACCCACAACCAATGATGGGTGATCGTGCCAATTTTCAGTCATCAGATCTGTTCCGTCCTTCCTTGAATGATTCTTCCAGCGACAATTCCTCTCTTTTCGATGAAGGCTCCTCCTGTAGCACCGAGAGCACAAGGGACTCGGCAAGCACTGAAGAGAACTGGGAATGCATGTCTGGAGAGTCAGACTGTATCAACTCAAATAGCCTCAGAGGCTCCAAGGAATCTAATGGACTCACTCATTCACCCCTGTTCTCCAGGCATTCATCGAAAAAAGTCTTACATGATGATTCTGGACGGAATGCTAGCTCTTCAGGCAGGGAAATTGATCATGTGGAGGTTGGGAGGCTTGGGCCGATGAAGCATCAGGGGGGCCGAACGACATGTTCCGAGGGCAGTAAGAGCTCATCCTTTTTGTATCATGATAAAAGCCAAATATGTAGAGTAACAGAACATTGTAGCACTGTAGAGATCGACTGGATTAACCCAAGTGAGGTGAAGTCTGGTGTTGTATTGAGAAGACCGAGTAGGGAAATAACTGCCCAAACATTTTATTGATCCGTTTGGGTTGTAGAGAAAAATAATGTAGGTTGTATTATGCCCAGCGAAACCTAGATGGACAGAAAAAGAGTAATTTTTGTTGACCTTTTATGTCTGTTTTGTGTTGAACTCTTGTCTAGAATGCCATGATAAAAGTATGCTGCGTAAATATTCGGCAATTCAAGCATTTGAGAAGCAGTAACATGCAAGATATGAGGTAACGAGTGTTTGTAGGTGAGTGAATCGCTCTGTTTGTTTCTTCGTTTTTGCCTGTTAATTGTAGTAGTTGAACTCCTGACTAGGGTTGCAGGTGACTGTGACCATTCTTGAACAGCTTGGCATTTTTCTCTTCAAAGATTCATTCAAATTATTCCCCAAGGTTAGTGAAATCAAACTTGAAATGGGTTTCAAAGCTCGATCTCCAAGCAAGTCAGAGGTAAACCATGCAAAATCCTCTTTCAGATTCAATTAAAAATGAAATGAATCCAATACACAAGACTTCTGCCAATACGATATTTGAAAGATCAATGTAATATAATTTGAAAGATCAATGTAATATAATTTACATTATCATCTATATGACTCAAACCCTCATACTCAGACCGCAAAGGAGCAATTTTAATGCGATTATGAGAATATCATTACTCGAATTAACTAACAATGGATTTAACTGAACCATGAGAATATCATACAACTTCTGCAAATGTTGGTTTGGAATTAGAATATTTTGCAATATTGTATTTAATCCAGAGACAATATTGATTGATGCTTGAAGCAGAAGCACTTCGATTGAATCTGCTGCTTAATTATCATTGGAACTTCATCCTTTTGGCTGGGCCTTGATCAATTATAGGGTCTACAGATGGTTGCTGCTCCGAGGCTTGTTGGCTGTCTGGTCCTTTCTCTGCGTCTGAGGCTGATGGAGCATAACCCTCCGGAAATGGTGGTGGTGGAGGAGCTGGGGGCAGCTGCATCATTGAAGAATGGAAAAAAGTATCAAACTTGATGTATAACCCAAAAAATGTATCTAGTGCAACGCAAAAGAAAATACATATATATTCTCAGATGGGTAAAGAATTGAGGCTTGAACAAGTTTGACAGGAATTAGAGGGCATTGCTAACAAATATCTAGTTTGATGTACAACTCAAACAATGTAACTAGTGCAAGACAAGCAAAAAACGGTTGTCCTCCGAATGGAAGAGATACCATGAAACCCATTACCCATAAACTACTTGCATTTGGCTGAGGCTCAAACAAATTTGACAAAATTTAAAGGGTAATGAAACCACAGATTCAAACATCATGTTTTTGGCTGAGATAAGAAAATAATGTACAACTCCTAAATTTTTTTTTCACTAAAAGCAAATAGATTAGGATGGAATATATGTTGATTGCACAAACACATCTGTGAGGTTTTGAGCATAAGATGGGAAGAAACATATCCTTCTACATCTTTACATAATTGGTGGTTCATTGAGAATACAGAAGAAAGGCACTTTGAATTGTTGGTTCATCACCAAAGATTTTATCTTTTTTCAGCTAAATGTTCTTATGTTAGCAATATCATAATATCTGCAGATTCTTATATAATATTCAAGATTCCAGACTAATTAGGTTCAATAGTCCCTCAAAAGTTCTCCTGGAAATATATGTGAGACCTTATACATAAATGTATATCTACATGCAAAAGTGTTTCTTCCATTCTTAACATGCATGGCCATTTTTATTCTATGGGCATGAATCTAAGAATCCCAAACTCATTTCATTCCTTTCGAACATGGAGTTTTTGGTGGTATTTACACCATTTAAAACAAGATATACCAAGTGTAAAAAAAACCAGTTACCTTGCGTTGCAAGGAGGCAAGAATATGATCAACTCGTTTTAGTTCCTTGAGATCAATTGTCTCCTTCGCACTTTTCAATTCAGCGCTAGATTCTTCATTTTCAGCATCAGCTGCAACACAACGAAAGATCAAGACTTTCAATGAAAATGAAAACAATATAATGATTTCTGTACCACGATAAGAAATGGTTTTTCATGCAGCAATTTTAGGAACATGCTTTGAAAGATGCAGTGTAAGCACAATGCCTCGAGGAATAATTAGGTTCACGTTTCCAGTATAATGTATCTTAGATAATAGTTAAATCAAACTAAAAAACATAGAATAGAAAGGAGACCAACATATGGTGAATAACAAGAATATCATTCCTACATTTCTTCTTACAAGGATGATGTCTTGAAGTACTTCCACAATTTGGAGGTGTTTCATAGTGCTTCACAAATGCATCATCTTCTTATATATAGAAGACAGAAGACAGAATGGTGCATACTAATGAGTTATTTCATATTGTGAACCAATACGTAGTGATCAAATTTCTTTCCATCAAGGAGTCACTCAACATAACTCTCTTTTGTCTTTTAATTTGTGTAGCCTCCCCACCACAAAGGCTGTCCGCTATCCAAGCTGTTGAAGCAAAAAAACACTTGAGCATAGTATGTCATTCCATTAGAAGTATGAAACTTCTTAAGCAGATGTATTATGCACATCATTACCCTTTTTTCTTCCATCTTTTCTCATGTAGAACCTAATTACATGAGACCAACTATTTCGGATGGATTGCTGACCACAAAATTTCTTCAGAGTAACTTGTTATCTTGTTCAGAAGTCGTCATCAATCTCAGCACAATCACCCAAGGCTAAACCTATCAATGTAGAATCAAACTAATAGCACAATTCAAATTGAGAAGGTTTTACAAAGGATTCAATGGTGCTAACAAGTCCATAGCTGCATCAGGGTGGAATATAATCTCAAGGTAAGGAAGATATTCATTACATCCCTTCTTTTGGCAATCTTCAGTAATAGACACAATTTAAAGGCAATCACTAGCCAGGTTGGAAGCATAATCTCTGATCAGATGCTATGATGACATACAACCTTGTGTCAGATCTCTCAAGATAGTCTCAAATTCCTAGTTAGACAACATAAGATTGCATCGAATGTCAACAAGTATAATTAGCTAGTATGATTATTTATCTTTCTTCGTGCAGTTTAAAGTCATTAATCCAAGAAGCAAAATCAAAATTTTTCATAGACATGAATGAAAGTTGTGAAGAAGGGAAGGCCAGTGTTACGACAAGGAGCAACATTCATCTGAAAACAAACCAACTGAAGACAAAGTTGATTCTTTCTTCCACACCTTCAATATCGACAAAGCATATTAATCTACTAGAGTGTTTTTTATGTGCATGATCATAGGTCATAAATGCAGCATTCATTCACACAAACAGAAGTGTAAACAGGTCTACTTGATTTTATGTATTGCAAAGGGATGTAAAAACCACGCAATTGAAATGAATGTGAATCTTGCAACAAGAGTAGCAAGAACAGTCTATAGTTCTTTGGAGAATAAATACCATATCCAATCTTCTCCAACTTCGAGGCTGCAGTATTGAAAGCCTTTGATATATGATACAGAGCCCTCCCCTGCAGCCAGAGCAACGACTTCAATTCCAGTTTGCCGCGTTGAAGCAGATCAAAGTTATTTGAATCAGAAAAAGGCAAAATGAAAGAAGAACTCACGATCCGCGCCGCAAAGACACTGGAGAGCTGCGGCGCCTGGTAGACGGACCCGTCGAGGATGTAGTACGTGAGCATGGGGTTAACCCTCTCCGGCCCGTCTCGCTTCTGCTTCCTGATAACAAACAGGTTCGGCTCCATCACCTCGCTCAGCGCGTACTCCGTCCCCGTCATCTTCCTACGCTCACGCATATACACAAACAGCTCAAAGACGAAATCTTTAGGCCACAGAAAAGGCAACCCAAGGGAGGCGCGACGCACGAGAGGTGGGAGATATCGAGTGGGTGGATGGATCGGGCGCGGAGCTGCTCGTTGTTGCAGGACCAGTCATAGAAGGGGGACAGAGCGAAGTAGTCGAAGATGAGATTGCGGTCGAGGGGGTAGGTGTTGAGCCACAGCTGATCGCGGAAGCAGATCCCGGTCATGTCCGTGCCCGGCGGCGGGGGCATACCCTCAGAGGCGCCTCCGCCGGGGTTCCCGACCGCCGGAAGGGCCACCTGGCCGGCGGGAGGGAGCGGCGTCGTAGCCATCGCCGGCCTCTACTTGGAGCACGCACGATGGACTCGCCGATTCGGTCCAATAAATGGGCCGCACTGCGTCGAGCCCATTTCTGAGGTATATATATATATATATATATATATATATATATATATATATATATATATATATTGTAAATATTATATTTTGTATATATTATAAATATTATATTTTGTAAATATTTTGTATATATATATATATATATATATATATATAGATAATGAAGTGGTTAAGTTGAGATTCCAATTGGCATTAGTACTCTCTAAAAATTTCGATAGTTGATTGTTATGATTCGGAAAATACTAATGATATTTTAAATATTTTGTAATTTAATATATTTATATACCAAATTAATTTTTGTTATTCATAGTTATAAGTTATCAATAAGATGAATATTAAAAGAAGGGATATGCACAAAGGATCCTAATGTTCAAACTCTTCATTTTTTCCCTTAAAAATGATGCAAAGAATTTAAAATCACATACTGAGATAATATTATAAATATCATATATCAATATATTATCAATGATATATGTTGATTTATAGAATGTTATTTCACTCTTGTTTTACCTTTTTCTAATAAATTTAAGTATTTTTCACATTATGATATGTGAGTCTAATAATAATTAATATTTTTTTATCTTTTTTATTATTAATAATTCCTTTCTATGTCTTTCCATCCTCCATTCTAAATCGTCAATAGGAGATCATCTCAGCCTCTTCCATTGTTCTGCAGATAGAAGATGTCTGTACCGTAGACTAGCAGGGAAGTAGAGGGAAGAAATAGAATAGGTATCATCTCGGTGGCCCTTCTCCAGAACTCATCAGCATTCGCATGCAGAGAGGTGTTGTAGAGGGAAACTTCAGTTCATAGCATGGAGAAGTATACAGCTTTGAGGGATTCTAATGGCGACATCTCATTTGCATGAGGAGGTTTGTCATCCACTTCCGCTGCAATCCACCTCTCGAAGGAGAGAGAACTTGCAGCTTTGTCGGATTAGCCATTCACGTGCATATACGTATATGTATGTGTATGTTTCTGTGCAGGAATTCAACGTCTTTAACGTAGGTGTCATGGTGGATGTGGACTTGACTTCTTCTTCTTCTTCTTCTTCTTCTGGTTCCGTGGATAAGAAGCAGCCGGACGCAATTAAAGAAAGCCGCCAGTTTCTTCTGTGCAGCGGCCTCCACACCATGGCGTTGACTGGGTTTCATCCCGCCCATCAAAGTCAACCATGAAGCAAATGTCTATTTGCTGCGACCAACTCATCTACTATTCCCTCCTCTCTCTTCTTCTTCTTCTTCTTCTTCTTCTTCTTCTTCTTCTGCTGCTGCTGCTGCTGCTGTTGTTTTCTTCCTCTACTCTCTCTCTCTCTCTCTCTCTCTCTCCAGATAATAACTTCACCTTGAAGTCATCCATGAATACGGGTCATCCAGAAACAACCCATCTCTTTCATCGATGTGAGATATACTGTAATAGAGTTATGGATAGAGAGACAGGAGAAAGAGAGAGAAGAGAGAAGGTAGAATTGCTGAGTAATTAATTAATGATCATCCATCATGAACAATGATTGCGGCTGCTAAGCCACACAATCCAATTTCAACGTGTAAAAAATACCTCGTGCACTGGATATAATTCGATAATATTATAATTCATCGTATCTAAAATCGATAATATTATAATTAATCAATAATCTAATCTAAAATCTAAATTAACATTTAAGGATACTAAGAAACTAAGTTAAAATTCACATCCATAAAATATGTATAGTTAATTTATAATCATACATCACGTCACTCAAATTTTTATGAAAATCTAAATCAATTAATAAAACATTAATCGTATTTATAAATCCACAAGCATAAGAATTTATATAACGAGAACTTCAATAATTTTTTGATTTGTGCATGTCATCATTCTAATCCACAAGCGCCATGTTAATCTTTTATATATCATTCTAATTTTATCGAATATCTTCGATATTCATAAGAGGACTATCTGGACTGTTATGATGTCTCCATATATTTTCTTAACCTATCAAAAATGATCGTGTGCCTCTCAAAGAAGGTTCGACGGTCGTGAGAGGAGGAATTTTTCTTCATTCTTATCTAATTCAGTAAGAAAAAAAGAAATAGTAATCACAAATTGAATCATAGTCCACTTGGAAGCCTCCACATTATGAATCAATGTCAACATCTACCTACATGGGCAATTGGTGGCGCCACCTGAGAGGAGGCATTTAGATCATTCCGGGAAGGATTGTGGTCAAAATTGACGAAAGCTAGTTTGAATTGGGTGTTGAAGGATTGAATCGACTATTTCTCATTTCCGGTCAACATCTGCAAGGAAAAAAAAAATCTCACAAAATTCGAATTGAGTGTTCGCCGTCGTCACCACATGTAATTGATTTTTTTCTCCTTTTTCGAGCAGCATTATTTTTTTCTTGAATTTTATTATGTAGTGAAGATATTTATTGAAAATTGAAGCGTCTCCATCACTTATATATATATTTGTGTATAGAATTTAAAAATGATATAAATTAATTTATTAAGATAAAAAATTAGAGGATTTTGAGACTTTTTATGAATTTTTCTTATAAAAAATTCCGATAAACATTCCTTTTTAAGATTTATTTTTCTATAATTTTTTATTCTTTTTTCTGTTGAAATATATTTTTTATAATTAAAAATAATCTTTCAAGGAATAATAAATAAATATTTATGACATTTTTGATATTATAAGAAAAGAGGAGAGAGAAAAAAATATATATAATTTCATGTTTTCAACATACTAAAATATTACTAAATTAAAATATGAAGAAATGCTCCAACTAACCCTAATTTTTTTATTAATATTTTGAAACATAAAGGAATAAAAAAAAGACAAATCCAAAACTTATTCGTGTTAATTTGTTGTGCGGGCGACGCCGCCTCTTTGACCGCGGGCAACACGGAACGAGAACGCATCCCAAGACCTTCTCGATCGCTCTGTCCTCGTCGTGGCCAACTGCGCTGGATTCGATCAGCGATGCGCTCCGCAGTCGTCGTCGTCCCGCTCACACCTGTCCTCCCCCTTACTTGAGTGCCGTTTGCGCTCCCATTCCCTCGACGCAACCGCTTTGCTTCTCGCTCTTCGCTTTCTTCTCCTCTACTCTTTGTCTGCTACATCGCTTTTGAGCGTCCCGATCGGTCTATGTTCGTTCGATGGAGGTGCCGTCTCCCTCGCGTCCGTCGCAGCTGGAGTCGCTGGTGCTCTGGGTGCAGACCAACTACGCAGAGCCGTTGGATTCACTGAAGCAGTCGCTCCGCATCGCCTACGTCGTCTTCGCCTTCTGCTCCGCGCTCTTCCTCGGAGCCCTCAAAGGTCCCGTCTTGATGGATTTTCTTGGCTCCTCCTCCATCGAATCCTGCTAAAGTTTGCTCCTTTCTGAAAGCGGGTTGGATGTTTGGGTGTGATTGTTGGTTGCAGCTCTGGTGGTGGGTCCTGTGGCAGCGCTGCTGCTGATTCTTGGGAACGTTGGGGTGATACTTGGACTGTTTCCAGCTCATGTGGCCTGGACTGTCTACTCTATTGTCAAGTAAGTCATCATGACCTTCCTTTGATTTGAGCTTTCTTGTGCGAAAATTTTGATTTTGTTTGTTTTTGCGTTGGTAAGTTCCTGTTGTTTAATAGTGGCGTTCATCAAGATTGGATTATGATAACCTTTTTGCCCCTTGCTGCGTTTAAGCATGATTTCTAGCCGGGAATTCAGTGACATCCCAGCAATTGACGAGAAGTGGAAGAGTTAGATTTAGAAGAGAAAAAAATGATTGGTGCTTCTAAAGTTACCAAGAGAGAAGTTTGAGGGATCTGTGCTCTACCGGATATTACTTCTTAGTTGAAGTAACAATAGTGATTTTGAGATGGAGATAACGTTTATTCTTTGTGTATATGATCTATTGACGAGAAATCATGAAGCTGAATCTCAAAACTAATGAAGTAAAACAAAATAAATGAAGTTGAACGTTGAACTGAAATGATAGTTTGCTTCCCAGATCTATTTTTCCATGTGAATAAGGAAACAAAAAAACTTTTTCCAAGTGTTTTACTTCTGGAGATCGTCATTGTAATTGGATAATTGTCATTTTAAAGTCTAGCCCAGGTCTTTGACTTTGATATTTTCAGAATGTTTGATTCTTTTGAATTCTTAAACACAATAGGTAAACAATTTTCTTTGCCTATTTATATGTGATTGTATATCAGAATTTCACACTTGCTTCTCCAAAAGAAAAAGGAACTAATAGGTAATCAATGCATAGATACAGAAGCCATTTCTTTAGTTTTGGATTCTTGACCATAACAACAAACATGATTCTTCAGTCAATCCTCCAACAATCAGCTTTAGGCATTCAAACAGAAGTCTGGATTTCAGGGATATTATCATTTCTGCTGGTAAAAGTCAATAAAAGAAGCAGACATAAACCTCTTGTATACATTTTCAATCAGACATGGTCTTAACATTTAGTTTTAGTCTATGTAGTCTGAAGATAACACTATTACAGGAAGCAATATTTTTATTTTTATTTTTTTTTGAAAATTTTCAAATGGAGCATTTCTTCCATGACTAAGGTGGCATTGTCCCACATGAACACTAAAAAATTCTGTTGAAACAACAAAATTAAGGAGGCAGAGTCCAAAGGCAACTCAGATCCTGAAAGATATTCATGTACTATGTTCTTTCTTGCTCTTGCTACATTTCATTGGATGATTCCATTATTAGAAAAGAAAGTTTGATGCATGATGTATTGTTAAATGGGACAAGATCACATGTACAGAACCTTTTGAAGGAGTTTGATATAAGAAGTTGCTCTACGTCGACATAGTACTGGTATTTTCTTGTGGATAGCTAATTATATCTCAATCCTCAATTGGTATATTGGTCGAACATGTCACCACCACTTTTCTCTATTCCTAGCTGCAAAGGTTATGGAATTCATGGTTACGTATACCATATTGTCCCTAAAATTTTAAACTATATTTTGTCAAAGTTTTTTAAATACAAGTTATCATTTAGATCTTTTACAATGCAAGAAAATATTTATTTGGTAAGTTCCAACTCTGTTCATCCTAACAAAAGTTTCAAATTTGAAGTTCAATTAAATTCTTGCTGTTACAAATCTCATCTCATACTAATACAAGCCTAATCTGCTACCTTTCATGTATAATTATAGAGACTCTTTCAGAAATTATACAACACATATCTTGTAAGTTGATTAACCTCTCATATCTCTAAGCATCATCAGTTCCATGAAAACAGGAGACAAAAGTTGGTATCAGAAGAGAATAATCATTGAATGGGAGTGCTTTCGATGGACATTTATATAGTTCTATTTAGTTTGAGAAGTTTATGACAATCCTAAAAAAATTAAGAAATTTAATTTGAATGGAGGAGAATGTCATTATAGCAATAAAATCCTTACATCTGAGTTTTACCTAACTGAAGTCTGAGGTCGACGGAGCAGCAAAGATTCTTAGACACAATTTGCAAATGATTAAGGGGCATTTGATTTTTTGATTCACACAAATGGAAGAGGAAACAAGAACACTGAGAACAAGAATAAAAGAAAAGGACAAGAAGAAAAAAAAATTTCCAAATTTGAAGAATGCAAATATGTGGATTTATAAATTAGAAATTTGTGCAAGCATACTGGTTACTGTCTTTGGAAAAATACACATGTCGCCAAGGGGGCTTCAGTTACTAACTGGCATCGTATTGGTCAATTGCAGGACGGATTCCATAAATGCAGCACTTAAACTTGCCTTTCTTTTTGCTCTTCCCATATTTGTTGGGCTGTGGTTGGCCCTTGCCATCTTTGGGAGTGTCCTGGTTGGACTTGGTTATGGGTTTGTTACACCCTGGGTGTCAACCTTTGAGGCCTTCCGAAAGGATGGTGAAACAAATAAATTTCTTCACTCCATTGTGGTAAAAAGACTACTTAAACTCAAATTTTGTGAACTATTCTCAATGTTATTATGGGCTACAAACTGCTTAGCAATAACTTGACTTAATATCTGACATTAAACAGGATGGAACATGGAGTACTATCAAAGGGAGTTGCACTGTGGTTAGAGACTTTGCAGATATCTGTTACCACTCATATCCACTTTACTTAAAGGAGTTAAGAGAAAGTTCACATGATCATCAGCCATATTCAATTAGGTATGTGTATTTATGTCCTTTGCTTTTTTGGGTATTAGTATAGATTGTCTCAAAAAGGTTATGTATGGTATTCCATATTTTGAATGTTCTGTAGAAAGAGTTTCTAAATTTCTTGATTATTTTTTCAATAATCATTTTTTAATATGTATATAAGAAGGAGAATATGCCATATTTTCTGAATTGGCTCATTAAACATGTTAGTTCTCCATGTACATGACAAGGATTTTATTTCCTCCATAATTTCTTACTTGATTTGGTGCTGAAAGACAAGTCTCTTTATGATTTTTTCTCAGTGTCAAGGAAAGTCAGTGTTAGATATGGTAAATACTTCTGAAAGTCTTTATTTGAATTTCAATAAATGTATCACCTTTGGTTATTTTACGTGTTTAACCCTGAAGTGTCGCAATAAAACAGTGATTTTACCTGTTTCACATTGAAGTATCACAATAAAATGGTATCCACTTGGAATAGAAAATCTCGTGTCATGTGGATTGTCCATTTTACTTGATCCTTCTGTTTATTATATGGAGTGCAGTATAATTATCATTTAACAGCTGTTGATGGCAATTTAAGTGATTATTCAAGTTAGCAGTCCAATTTATAAGGATAACATCTTACTAATAAATTCAAGTTGATATTCTTTGGTTGATACAATTTATTGTTATTGATCTTCTCAAATTTTATGTAGGTTGATAGAGGTTCCTGCTTGTGTTGTTGTTGCGCTGATGGGCTTAATTGTTGATATCCCACTTTACACTGTCATTGCATTGATAAAAAGCCCCTATATGCTATTTAAAGGCTGGCAGAGGCTTCTACAGGACCTGATAAGCCGAGAGGGACCATTTCTTGAGACAGCTTGTGTGCCTGTTGCTGGTCTCGCCATTCTGTTCTGGCCTCTAGTTGTTGTTGGGAGTGTCCTGTTGGCGATAGTCTCAAGTATCTTCATTGGATTGTACGGATCGGTGGTTGTGTATCAGGTCCTTTGTGTGGTTACTCTCTCTTGGTTTATTCTTTACGCTTATGAAATGTGCTGCAGCTGCAGCATTTGTTTATTTTGAAACCTAATCACATACGAATTCTATTTTTTAATACAGGAGAGATCTTTCAAACGAGGAGTTGCCTTTGTGGTTGCCATGGTTGCGGAGTTTGATGAATACACTAATGATTGGCTATATCTACGGGAGGGGTCCATTCTTCCAAAGTAATGGCGATTTCACTTTTGCTTTTCCTGTTTACTTTTAGTCATCTAAATATCACATTTACTGTTGTTATTATCTAATGGCTCCTTTTTCTTAAAAAAATACATTATTTGTATAATTTACTTCTTAATATAGCACTCTTGTTGCCCAGCCAGGCCTCGGTACCGAAAGAGGAAGATATCTCACTCAGCAGAATTTTCTGTTGGAGCCAGTTCTGTTAGAGGGGTTAAAGCTGGTTATGGTTCTTCAGGGGCTCCTGCAATGTTAGTCCCTAGCTTGGCTCCTTCAAGATCCGTTAGAGAGACAATACAAGAGGTGAAAATGGTGCAGGTAAATGCTCTACTTTCCATTTATATGTTGAAAATATTTTCATCATCAAACTTCAGTTCTTATTGTAATTAAATAATCTGATATCATTTCCTTGAGCATGACATTCTCATCATGATAAAAGAAAAGTTTGTCTCCACTGAATTAATTTGCACGAATGACCATACTCCATATCAGTTGGTAGGAAGCAGTATTTATGGTTTGACCAAGCATTAATATTTAAAAATATATGTCAATAATAGTAAAGTACCATTTATTTTTAATTTTTATTATTAAATTTAATTGTATTGGGTGGTATACTGGTACCATACTGATATGGTAGGTCACCAAAATCAATACTAGACCAAGATTTAAATTCTTGATTTAAAGATGCATTTAATTGTTAATGATGATAGTTTATTATTTAACTTGTGAATATATGAGTAACTGAGGCTGGAAATATCAATCTGGTAAATATTCGACAATTGCTTGAGCACCAACATATACGCCATTCCTTGATTGTCTCTAAACTTGTGAGAACCCAAAAAAAAAAGTGTCTTACAAGTATTCAACACTGAAGCTAGTTGGTCTTATTGATTTAAGCAATAAAAATCCTGTATTTCAAGGATTTATTGATAAAAATTAGTATTAATATGTTATTATTCAACTTTGTAGAGTAGCTCCAAGGACTACAAAACTTGCAGGACTCTCAAATGCTAGTTGTTCCAGGCTTTTGTTTTTTCAGTTTTTGAGAAAAAAATGAGCATGGTATTGAGCTATTCTTACACTGCATCTTAAGCTGGCTCTCTAAAAATGATTTTTTTTCAGTTTCATGTCTGTGATGTAATTTCAAGCCTTGATTCTGAAAATCTTGATGCTAATCTCATCATTGACTTCTGTGCAAAAGAATTGTAGAGTGCAAGCATCATTTCTATGTGGCCACAGTCACTAATGCTATGTTTTCGAAGCAGCAGGTTTTAGTTAAGCTGTCCACCATGGAGATGTTCTAATTTTTGCCGTAATGTTTTTAGTTAGGATCTCATGTACACTCACATTGATATATGAGAGCTACCTTTATACAAGTTCTTCACAGACCACTAGAGAAAATCTTCATCATTGATCATTAATCAATCCTTCCAATTATATTGGCTTAATTTAGAAACTTATTATTTGTAGAGCAGACCTTGTAGAATGTGGACATACCAAGTAGTTAAAGTAGTTTGCTATCCATGTGCAATCTGATGTTTACAGAAGTGCCTACTGTTATCATCCTTTTCATTCATATGCTTATGGACATGGTAATATCTTTCAGATTCTTATAAATGCACATTGACATTTAACACCCACTTGCTTGCCTTACTTTCCTTGTTAATCGACATAATTGGAAGTTGGCATTTTAGTTGCTTTGGTAATATGGTCCTGTTTTCCCTCCCCATTCCATGCTTCTGTATTTTACCATATAAATTTAGCATAATAGTTTAAGGAGTACCATATTTCTCTCCAGGATCACATTCAGGTTTTCATTTATCCTGTGGTTCACCATTCATTTTCAAGTTAAGATCTTTTTTCCTTGACTTTCATAGAACTAAATGGAACATTGATGCAACAGATATGGGGTGAGATTATGAAATCCTGTGAAATGAGGGGCAAGGAACTTGTGGATACAAATATAATCACAATGTTTCATCTGAGTGATTGGTTACAAACCAAAGGAGCCAACCAGGAAATAGTTGGTGTTGGTCTACCTTCGTATGCTTTTTTGCACACTCTTCTCGACTCTATCAAGTGTGGATCAGGTGGATTGTTATTGAGCAATGGTATTGAAGTTACTCACATGAACCGACCACAAGATAGATTGTTGGATTGGTTCTTCCATCCTGTGACAGTACTCATGGAGCAAATCAAGGTCATAAAGTTGAAAGAAGATGAAGTCAGGTTCTTGGAGAAACTAGTTCTTTTCGTGGGTGACAACTCAACAATGGGAGCCTTGGACAATGTCTTTATGGTTCCTCAAGATGTTATTAGGACTGCACAGATTCAGGCGATTAGCAGAAGGTAAGATATTTGCCGTTGTCAGACTAAGTATATTGTCTGTGCATCATTATAAATATCGATATTCTGTTTCATGATATAGTTCTCACAAATTAAATAATATAATTTATAAAAGAAAACAGCTTTCTTATATATGTAGAATTTATGACAGCTATCCATATGTGCATTAATTATGGTAAAGAAAGAAATTGTGTTCAATCTTTGTGCATAATTATGGTAAGGCATACAAAACAATGTAGTTGATGGTAAACTTTAATCTTGAGTGAGATGGGTGTAAAATATTTATCCCAAAGCTTAGAACAGTAGATATTCTTATCTTGTTTGTTATACCTGTGGACATGAAACAAATTGGTAATTGAAACATTTTCCCACTTGGAACACTAAGGTAACTGCATTTTCAGTTCATCCCCTACGGCTACATTTCCTTTTCTACGTGTCACCAGATAAAAGGAGCATAACCAAATATTTCAATAACCCTCTCTAATTGTTTAGAAATTTGAGCTTGCTTGGTGATCTTGCAGTAACTTGGTAGCACATGCATCAGTTTTCTTCCTTTAACCATCAAGTGAAAAGTCCTGCAATAAGTAAGTACAAATCAAGATGCTTCTAGATATATGGAAATGGTTAAATAGGAACTCAGTGGTGGGGATTGGTATAAAATAATATAATGTGGTTGATTCTTTTCCTTTGGACTTAGTAAAATAATGTTTGATGAAACCATCTTGATATTTTATGGTGATTGTCAATGCCTTGTTAATGGGAGAAGGCTTGAATAATCCAATATAAAGAAATTGCTGCCTTTTTCTGTTCTTATCAATGCCAGTGTCTACCTTTGATATTTACAACAATAAAAGGTTACTGACCCAACTTGATCTTGGATCCATATCAACCGATTGTTTAAGCTATACTATGTGTGATGTAACATAAATTATATTGCCATGTTTCTTTGTGAACCAGAAGTTTTTGTCTTCTCCATGCCTACTGTCATAGCTGTGCCAAAATTTCTGCTTATAGCTTAGCATGGTTTCTCTCTCCTGCACTACATAGATTAACTTATTGTAACAAGGATTAAAGCATTCAACTGGCAGGTTGGTTGGCATGACGAGGAGCGTTTCAAAGTTTCCGACCTACAGAAGGAGATACAGGCAAGTCGTAAAGGTTCTTATGTCTTACTTGATTGAGAGCGAAGGGTCTCTTGAGAGAGGAAGGTCTTGCCGAACGCATTCAACTAGATCGATTTCTTCTGCCGAGATTGTACCAGCTGAAGTCTAGTGATGCTTTTTTTAATTTTTAATTTTTTTTTACCTTTCTTATTGTTGGTTTTATGTTGGGCAATGTCCATAGTATATTGAGTGCTTAGATCAGTGAGTGAAGGTAGTTGATATCTACTACACAAACTTCAGCCTAAAGATTTGAAATGGATGTGCATGATAGGTTTTTTTATTGTGTCATGTCACTTGTAAATTCTGTACTTGGTAGACAGCAAAAATTCAGTGAAGATAGGAAGTCATGGTGAAGTTTGTCTTTTGTTATCAAATTGGTATTCATTTGATCTCATGGTTTATCTCTTACACAATCTGAGTGAAGCACCAGTGAAGAGCTGTGTTTGCCATGAAAATTAGCAATTATTTTTCCCAAGAAAACAAGAATCTATTAATGGAAGGAAAGGGAAAATGGATGGATGGAGGGATGATGATGTCCTGTAAACCCTTATCCTAAACCTTTTTCCCCATGTCAAAGAAGAGAGGCAAAGAGACTCCAACACAGATTTATGAGCCATGGATGATGGACCCATCACTGTTGACAATAAATGGACCAACCATTTGGAGAACAAGATCATTAAGAGAACAAGCTGTTTCTGAAATAAATGCTCAAGTCCTATTAGAGAGAGATAAAGAGAGAGAAGAAGAAGAGGAAGAAGAAGAAGAAGAAGAAGAAGATTCAGTGTAGATCTCACAACATTGGAGATAAATGTTTAGTTTGATGGAAAACAATTGCTTCAGTGTCATGTTTGATTCATAAAAGAACACAACATCTGAAAAGTAAGGAGATGTGTAGAGAGATTGGGTTAGGAGAAGAACTAAATATCCTTTATTGAGAACTTCTCTCTTCTCTCTATAATTGTAACTCTGTACATATATAAAATAAAACTTATGGACTCACCTACTCATACCAACTCAAAGTAAAACACTGCATTTAAAATGTTTTCGCGCACTACAAAAAAATTCTCGTTATAAACAACTCTAATAATATTACCATAAAAGTTTTAATTTATTTTTTAAAAAATATTCTAGTGATTAAGATGAGTCCATTGGATGACCTACAATGGTATCAAATACTTTTATTATCGTCTCGTTACGAATAAACCTAATAATATTCTCGCATTTCATATTTTCGATCAATTGAGACTCGACACATGAAGTATAGAATTAATTTATATTCACCGATTGAACTTATCATGTTAGCATGATTGTTATAAGATAAAGCTCTTTATAAGATTTTTTTGTTCTCGTGAATTTTATCGAACTCACCCGTAGTTCTTGTGGGAACATATTAAACAGAATATAATTTTTTTTAATTATGAAAAAAAATTCTCCCTTGATTGAATCAGAATTTTCCTCTTTTAAATGTGAAAACACTCACAACAGTTTGATCACCAAAATAACCAACCATATTAGCATTCATTAAATCAAATTTGTAAGATAACAGGGAAATTACTAATGCAAAAGATCAAAATTTGCTTCCATTCGAATCAGGATTAGAAGACCACGACGTGGATCGAGTTTGAAATTGTCATCCCTAATCACAAGAGAGAGAGAGAGAGAGAGAGAGTTTGGGAGGACAAAAACACTCCAAACGTGCAGTCACCGACTTCCTTCTCCGACTACCGAAATCGGCACTCGCCGATTCATAATTCCTCGGCCGCAATTTTGGGTGAAGCGACGGGTAATTGGAGCCGAGATCGACGCGTTTGCGTCGCCAAGTCAAAGCCTCGTGCCTCACGTCTTGTCCATAGTCGTGGCCCACAGCACTCACCCCACAACCCCCTCCTCTCGAGTTCGGATCTCATCGACCACGGGTCTCGGATCCGTACTCGATAGCAGACGTGTATTCCTTTATCGGGTTTGGATTCGAGTTCACCCGATAAATAGTCTCTAGTTTAATTAATGCTCTACAAATCCGACTATTTGGTTGAGCTGTTACTACTACTACTACTAATAATCATATATATATATATATAATATCCTTTTAATATTAGTCAAAACAAAGTTAGGTTGATTACTAATAATCATGGTTATTTATTATTATTTTGAATTTTAAATTTTTACATAATATTCTTAAAATCATTACTATTATATCCAAGGTTTTAAAGATACCAGTATCAATTAAACTTAAAAAATAATAATAAATTAATCTCAGCTATCATTTAATGGTCATATAAGATCAACTACACATAGACAGAAGCAAGATTTTTGGTTTTCTAAGAATATATTAGCTAAATTTAGATTTAAAGAAATAATAATCATAATCATTGATTTTGAAGGAATATAAATAATATATATATATTTATGTGTGATTTTATCAAAAATTAATGCGCACCATATGAGAACAAACCCACGTCAGGCCACGCTGTCACCACCCCCGTCTCCGTTACGCGATGATCCCTCTAACTAAAACCCCATCCGCGGGACATGTTACCCGACGAATCGCGGATAAGAAGAGGAAACCAAGTTTTACGTTTAGCCGCCCGCGCAATTCTAGATTTGCACAGACGCCCCTAACAGAGAAAGGTCTTGTGGCTCGAGATTTGTGCGATGTTGTGATCTCTCGCTGAATCTACGTTAATTTCGCTTTGAGGTTCGTGCATTTGTTTGATTGAATGCTTAGGGATAATATTGTGATTTCAAATATTTATAGGAATAAGTACGAAATTAGTGATTGGGAGAGGGAGGCTTATGCAAAACCTGCAAAAGAAAGACCAGTGACTTCCGACCCACTCATACCTGAGTGATGACTGGTGTCAATGATGCCAAAGAGCGGGTCCCGCATGGCATCCGTCGACCGTGTAGCTAAGTAACAGGGAGGGTGCGAAACGTGTAAGAATAGTGTGGTATGAGTTATGGGTTTTTCTAAAAAGGGAACAAGGACGACCTTGTCTCTCTCTCTCTCTCTCTCTCTCTCTCACGCGCCCAACACGTACAATCTTGACATTTCCCAGAAATCAAGGGAGGAAGAAAAGACTCAACATCAATTTCATCCTTCTGATTCTACTTTTCCTTCAATTTCTCCAACAGTTCTTCTTGATTTGCTTCCCCTCCCTTCCGTCTCTCGATGGAATCCGCGTGGTTGCTTCCTGTTGCCAGATTTGTTGGAATCAGGGAGCACAGGGGAATGTGATTCGGCTTGGCAAGTAGCTAGCTGCGATTTGGAGCAGGAGGAATCGTGCTCGTGATGGCGGCCTCGGTGGCGCGAGAGCGGCCGATGGTGCCGCTGGCGGTGCTGCTGAGGCGGGAGATAACGAGCGAGAAGATGGAGAGACCGGACGTGCTGCACGGGCAGGCCAGCCAGAGCAAGAAAGGCGAGGACTTTACCCTCCTCAAGACAGACTGTCGGCGCGTCCCAGGCGACCGCGACGCCGACGCAACATTCTCCGTCTTTGCGGTATAGTACCTTCCGTCCTTTCTCTCTTTCCAAGCCTCGAGTGTTGAACGATTGCAGTGGTTGGATGGGAATTATTTGTGTGCGCGTTTTCTCATAATTTCTCTTTGAAATTGTTACAAGAGTTTGTGGCTGTCAAACATGAAATTTCGTAGTGTCGGTGTTGTTTACATCGAGCGAAGATAATATTGTGTGTCCTTTTTGCTGTGCTTGCGGGGAAGGTTAAGGTTTTGTTTTTAGTTGAAATGAGAACCTGTCCGTGCCTTGATTATGCAGCTTGACTTTTTCTTTGGGTGCATTTCAATTCTTTATGTTGTACCGTTTCTTCTCCTTTTTCTGATCGAAAAGCTGTTTACTTCTTGAGATAATTCGAGTTATTTCACTTCTTTTCTGATCTTTTCTTGATTGAAGATCTAAGTGTTTCTCTCTCCACCACCCAGGTGTATATACCTATTTAAAGATATTTTTTTTGTTACTTAAATTGAATATTCTCATGTTACATGCTAAATGGATAATAATACAAAAAAAGGAGAGGAAGAGATCAAAGAAGCCTTTTACATTAGAAAAATTGTAGCTAAGACAGATCTAGTGGGCTCTCTTTACGCAGATACATCGTAATTAAGTTTAATTTACTCTAGGAGCAATGATATTGCTGCTAATTGATGTTCTCATAATGAAAAGTTAATCCCCAAGCAAAATTCTGCATGAACATCTTTGGTTAACATTCTACTAAATCTTTTAGTGTAGGAGGGAGTGTTGACACATATGTGGCAAAGTCGCATTGTGACAATCCACCAAATGATAACCCAAAATCAGCTAAAAATACCCTAAACTACTGAAAGATTCACATGAAACACATCATTATTTATGAGCATAAAATTGATTTGGTGAAAAGAATGTTTTTATGTTAGATGCAAAGAATAGACAGTTCACATAAGAAATAGAATATCAACTAGCTAACAAGATATATTAATTAATTGGCTAATTGTTTGTTTAGGCACATATAAGACTTGAATTTGTTGAATTTCTTGTAACAACTTGTTATGTGACTCAGGCTCAATTTTCTGCTTTACGGTCCCTTGAAAAACTCATTGTCTTTCATGCATCGTTACATTCCAATTGATTCCGATGACTCTGATTCTAATGATTCTGATCAACATTTGTATTTATGTTATCAAATTTTCGATATAAGAATCATAATTCCATTTTACCTTTATCTATCTGTTTCTGAAATATGCATTTAGAAATACACACCAATATTATTGTGAGAGTTGTAAACAAGGAAATACTGAGAAGATGCCCACAGAAAGAAAGAAGGAAATCAGAATGTAACATGATGCACAGAGTCATGGCTCTAGATGGAACCATCGGAACGACCTGGTACCAGATTTCCATCAGGTCTAAAGTTAGTAAATAACAAAGTTCCATAATACTACATTCTGTTTCTCTCGCATGCTAATATTTTTAATTATCAATGTGCTAAAGTTAGTATAGTCATAATTATCAATGTGCTAACAATGTAGTTCTGGGATTTCATCCAAATCATCATATCTGACACCAAATTAATGCAACATCTTTGTATTCTCTTTTTTTAATATAGTATATTTGCCAACTCCGGTATGTTTGTGATCTTCAAATGTATTAAATGCTGAAAAAAGCCTTTTATTTTCTTCCTGCAGCTATTTGATGGGCATAATGGTTCTGGGGCTGCTACTTACGCAAAGGAAAATCTCTTGGATAATGTTTTAAGTGCCATTCCTTCAGATCTCACTAGAGAAGAGTGGTTAGCAGCACTACCAAGAGCTTTAGTTGCAGGATTTGTAAAAACAGATAAAGAATTTCAAACTAAAGGTATGTTTGGACTGTTGAATTGCAACTTTTGCCCCCTTGGTTTTGAACGACCATTGTTAGATTCCTCACGTGCTCTGAATATTGCCTTTTCAATTAACCTCAAACCTGTAAAACTTCTTTTCCTCCCATCCCGGATTGATTTCTTTTACTGACTCTTGCTCTGATGCATCTGATTAAACCAAATAATGAACTTGTAACTGATGACAAGGTCCTTCACTTTTGAATATTTAGTTACAACTTTGCTGCTTATTTATCATGGTTGGTTCATCTTCAGTTTGCTGTAATCTTCCAATCTATTTGAGAAAGCAGTTAGAATTAGAAGATTGTTGTCTAGTATGTCGTTTTTCTAACAAAGGTTTGATTGTTGGAAGAGGTCTTATAATGGACGAATATTCTGAATTTTGTATTTGTAGTTCCATGAATATCCAAATGACTTTGAATTTTAAAGCAGGAAAAATTTCTTGATATTTGGTTCACTAAATTTCTTGCATACAAATGCTGTGTTCATATCACATTAATAAGTCTGTGATACTTGGTGCATGTCTGAATTTAAACTTCAGTTCATGGTCTTCACATAATTTTTGCTACTTGTATTTGTAGCTTGAATAGATCTTTCCTGTAGAATTTAGCTATCCTCTATATTTCAAATTGCATATTAGCACTTTCTGCCTTCTTTATATCAAGTCTATTGTCTTGAATATGAGATTCATCTAATTTTTGTTCTGGTTGCTTTTCAGCGCATTCTTCAGGAACCACTGTCACATTTGTCATTATAGATGGATGGGTAGTTACTGTAGCATCAGTTGGTGATTCAAGATGCATTCTAGAATCTGCTGAAGGTTCTGTTTATTATCTATCAGCAGATCATCGGCTGGATAGTGATGAAGAGGAGTACGTTTGTATTTTCAGTGGCCCTGTTACTAATGTTTTTGTGTAGTATCTGCTGCTTTATGATTCGTTCTTCAACAGGGTTGAGCGCATAACTGTGAGTGGAGGTGAGGTTGGGAGATTAAATATCGTTGGAGGCACAGAGGTTTGTATACTTCCAACCATCTTAGGAAGAGAATTTTTTCTCTTTTATTTTCAGTTTTCAAACTTACATCAGTTATTTTTCTATTTTCTTTTTTTCAGTTAAACATTAACTTAACCCTACTCCAGCAGTGTATACCAAAATTTAACTTTCAAATCAAGGATTACTTCACTGGCAGACACCCTGTATGGTCCCTAGTTAGACCTGCAATGTACTCTGGCATGATCTGCATACCAGCTGGTACCAACCACTCCAATGCCAAGAAAAAAGAAAAATAAAAAATAAAAAATAAAGGTGAAAAGTAAAAAACGAAGAGGACTGAGACTTTTCTGGCTGCTTGTGGTTTGCCTTTAAAAGTTTTGAGAGTTCAGATTCGGGCTTTAATTTTTGTAGAAGAACCACTTGGACTTGCTTTCAATTGAAAGCTGTCTGGATTCAATGGTCAGGTTTTGACCAAAACTGGTCAAAACAACTCTTTATCTTTTCTCACTCAATGCAGACTCTAGTGCTTTGGAACTTGTTCACAAGATAATGGTGGAGTCTGTCGTATAGGACAAACAACAAACTGTAATGTCCCAACTATAAATCCGTGCCATATATTCTTCCAAAATATTGTTGTCCTACAGGAAATGTTGTATTGCTTGTTAGGCTCTGGATTTAACACTCCATGAGAATCTATAGTTCAAGTGTGTATTGTTCCTCAAAAGTAATAGTTATACTTAACTCTCAAGAAACAATTGAACTTAACTTCTCTTGTCATATTAAAGCAGGCAACAATAAGAGAGCAGTTTAACACTTTAACTATCCTCTTTGGTAAATGAATTATAATATTTTTGTTGATGAACTTTTACTTGCATTATTAAATCCTTGTACATAGTCATATACTTAGATAGACCTCCATGATATACATCATATGTTGATAATATTATTTTGATTTATGAGATTTTAAGAAACTAAAAGTTTTAAATTAAGTTAAACTAAAATCGAATAATGTAGTTAGAATGGAAAGACCCTAAGGACTTATATGTAGAGTTATCTTGGATCTATTATTTAACAGAAGAGATTGATAAAAGATATTATTCATAAAGTAAAAAATTAGTGGGTTGAAGTAGAAAGGAGCATAAGGAATTTTGTGTGATCATCAAACATCTTTTAAATTAAAAAAAAAAATTTACAAGATAGTTGGTAGGATAATCATATCTCTATGGATTTTAATGATGGATGGTTAAGAATTAACATGTACAGAAAATTTATATCGGCAAGATGAAAATGTCAAAATAGATGGCTCAAATTATTAGAAAAGATAAAAAAAATCATTTTTAGACAATTAAGTGTAGCTCCGATGGAGCATAAAATGAGTAAAAAATCATCTAAGATGATACACAAATGTTCCAATGAGATCTATAGATATTGTGGTTAAATGAGGTGAAATAATTAATACTAATAGTGGAATGAGAGGTTGGGAGAGACACCTAAGCAAACTTTATTAGAAACTATAGTTAGCTAAGAATATTATCTTCTGCAAAATTCAATGGTGAAAAAAACAGATTTATGTAGTTGATTACATATAGTTGGGACATGGTTTGTTGTATTTGTTGTATAATATGATAGTCATATTTTCTTTCTGACTTTTGTCTTATGATTCTTTGGAAATTTTGTTTTTATTGTTACCAATTTGTAGTTTTATATATTTTGCCTTTGCATTCTCAGATTGGCCCTCTCAGGTGTTGGCCAGGTGGCTTATGCTTATCAAGATCAATAGGTGATATGGATGTCGGTGAATTTATTGTTCCTGTACCACATGTTAAGCAAGTGAAGGTTTGTGGATGATTAATGTATACAATCTGCATGCTAGTATGATTTTCCTAGGAAGTTAGTTAAACAATTTTTTTCATCCTTTTTCCCATTGTTGCTAATAAGTGCACAAATTTTTTTTCTTAATGTTTATTTCTTGTTTATTCTATAAAATTTGTTTCTGAATGATATTCATTTCCCAGATCTATGCTTGTATGCCATCCTATGTACGTGTAATATATTTATTGTGAATCTTTCAAATTAGTTTCGGAGGAGGTAGAAAATGTAAATAGCAATTAGGTGGGTTGCTTTTCTTATGTTACGAATCAAGGAGTACAATCATTAAACTAATGTTATACTCATGCCAAGGCTTTTGGAATTATCACAAACCCGGCTCATTGTTCAACACTAGGGAAGTTTGGGTAGGAATGATAGATCAGTATGTCACATACCCAACTGCCTTTCACCACAAAAAGTATGTAGTTTTTTTATGTGTACCAGTTGCTATCAATCCATACCACTGCTACAAATTACAGTTTAAGAAACCACCTTGACTGGCACGAGTTGGGCAGTAAATACCAGTCCAACAAAGAACTGGTTGGTTAAGGCCAGTTAAAGTTTTTGAGCAAAAACCCTTTATGAACCCCCCCCCCCCATCCCTCCTCTCTCTCACTCAATCACTGCCAAACCCTCAGCCCTGCGTCCTAAGCCATCCGTGGCTCTTCACCCACTGCTTGGTACCTCCTCCGTTGCCTCTTCTTCCTCCTGCTTCTCCTCCTCCTCCTCTTTTCCTTCTTGTTTCCTTCTCCTCTCCCCTTCTTGGCACTGCAGAATGTACCAGCATATTGTGTATTGGTACGCTGGACTTATACCAGTTTAGTCGGGGACTGGTACCTGTCACTTCGAACTGTGGTACATACTAGTTTATTCTGAACAGGTATTTTAAACCTTGATTATCAAATTTGTTGGTTCACACTTTGACAACATCAAGATAATTTGGAGGCAGGGAACATAAGTTTTCTGGGTGTGTGACCTATCCAAAGATGGAATCTATGTGTAATGTGTGGCTACTTCAGAGCCTCACTATTCATCACTTCAGTGTTCTCTCAACATTTTAATTGAAAGGATCAATCCTTGAAGTTTCTGCTTGTTGAATCTCCAATGCCAGCATGTCATTTCTGTGCTAATGTATGTTGAGGTATGCCAAATTTGACAATGGACTATGAAATGCTTGAACCTGTTTTACACCATTTTATGTTAAGTAGATTTCAGTTTATTCTTTGGTAATTTGTGCCTGATAATGACATTTAAATCCCTCTACTTCTTGCTCTCATGTTTATTTTAAGTTTGGAAAGGACAAATGCTTTTCAACTTGTTAGTTGTGAATATTGTTTTTAATTATCACTTTTGAAAAACTCCATTATAAACAATTGGCTTGCACAATGGCTGCAGCTTTCCAATGCTGGAGGTCGACTTATTATCTCAAGTGATGGCGTCTGGGATGCCTTGGCTTCTGAAGTGGCTCTGAATTGCTCACGTGGCCTGCCAGCATATGTCGCAGCCCATCAGATCGTTAAAGTACTTAATTGCTTGCTTAAAATTTGAGTTCCAGCCACAACGTTAGTTTCTTTAAATCATATTGTATGATTTCATTTTGCAGGAAGCTGTGCAAGTGAAAGGACTTAGAGATGATACTACTTGCATTGTGATTGATATATTACCACCAGAAAAGATAACTCCTGCACCACCACCCAAGAAAGCAGGAATTGGTGTATTTAAAAATATGTTTCGCCGAAAGTCTTCTGAGTCATCATCTCATTCAGATAGGGATTTTATTGAGCCAGATGTCGTGGAGGAAATATTTGAGGAAGGATCTGCATTGCTGGGCCAAAGGTCAAAGTCTTGGTCAAATCTTTACTTGATTTATTGATCTCGATCTATCGTGAATTATGATGCTTGTATTTTGATAGTGTACAAAATCAAATTTGCTTTCCAGTTTTTTTTTCAGAAGTTTAAGCACCAAGAACTCCTTACTAGATCTTTACCTCTGGTAGCCAGATTTTGGTGTTCATGTTTAAAAATTAAGTTTACGGCAGGAGTATGTGCAGTGATATCTAGAAGGACTTTGACCTGTAGATGTTCCTATCGTAGTAGCAGACTGAACTTGGACAACCATTAAGTGAATGGTTTAGGTTAGTTATTCTGAATTATGGAAGAGTAGAGGTGAAGTTCGAAAATTTTGAGACTGAATGTATGTCTGTGGCATACAGTTGTTCATTGGACCAGTTAAAATTTCTGTCTAGTTGTCATTTTATGATATGGACAAACCCTGATCTTGTTATATGTTTCTATTTTGCAAAGGTGCGTGGAATGTTTTAGCTATACAAAAGACATGTAAAAATGGATCCAACTATAAATATTTATCTTTTTGATCAACTAGTATTATCGTTGCTCATTGAACCCTAGCAATAGCTCAAATAAACAGTTATATTAGCCGTAATGAATCATTACTTGAGATTTTAATATATCTTGTGACACATGATCAATGGACCACAGATGAATTGCAGGTTAAACACAGCCTATCCGATTCGCAGCCTGTTCAAGCTTTTCATATGTGCAATTTGCCAGATTGAGTTGAAACCTGATGAGGGCATTTCTATTCATGGAATCCCATCTGTACCTAGAAAACAGCACCCGTGGGATGGTCCATTTCTTTGCATAAGTTGTCAAGAGAAGAGGGAAGCTATGGAAGGCAAAAGACTTTCAAGAGGTAAAACCAATCGGTAAAGTGGTAGCTTTCAAGTTCTCACTGTGCTAACATCAACGTTTTCTTTTTATCATCTCTCCAGGTTCTTCGTTTAGAAAGAGTTTTGGAAGTGAGTAGGCTTCCCATTTGTTAGTGTCAATGGTATTGAACTGTTGCATGGCTCAAGCATTAGTGCATGCTCAGAGACATATGAAGCTACTTTCAGGACAATTTTCCTTTCTCCTTTTGGGCAGAATGGCTATCAAGTGAATCGCAGCTACAGGGGCTTTCATTTGAATGTTTATATTAACATTCTTTCCTTGATGAAAGGTTGACATAAGCTCTCCATTAATTGTAAAGCTGCATTTGGTTGGGTGATTTATACGTCGGTCTTTGAAGATGGGAGGCACTTACGCACTCAGCATTTCATCGCCTGGCTTAGGAAGAGCCTGAGAAGTTTTCTTCTAGATTTGTACATCAGTCATGAGAGAGGTAACATTGGAAGTATCCAAAGCAATCTTTTAGGATAAAACTAGAGTAAATTACTCCTAGTTTTCTCAACTTTACACCAGGCAAGATCTAGAGCTTACCTGTTAGTTGATTGATGTCATAGATGAACTTGTGTTACCTGCCATTAGATATTACAAGATCTCTGGGGATTCTTTTTCTCGACCGAAATTAACAAATTGATTCGTTGGATTTTTTTTTTCCCATGTTTCATACTGATTGCGCATCATATGCTCATTGTGCTTGATCTTGCTATGTGAAGAATTGGGTTACATCATTAGTTTGACTTGGGCATTGACATTGCTGCCCCATGGACTGCTTGAGATTGGTTAGAAGATATGAAATTAATTGTTGATTTCCCAGATTGACAGTCCCTCATGGTTTTATGGTAACCTTTTTTGTGATGTAATTATTTTCTTCTGTTGTTCAATAATTTCTCCAATACATCGACATTTTAATTTTATTTTTCAGTTACTCTGAAATCTGACCAATTGAGCTTATTTTTGTTTCTTAATTGAATAAACTGCTTGTTAGATGAGTTTTATGTTAGGATCGACGCTACGGTGTTAAAATATTATGTGCTTATTTGGCATCATATGCTTTATGGCAATTCAAAAGTAAAATTTAACTGGTTTTACTTAGTGCTAATGGAGGTTGCTTTGACCAAAAATAAATAAAAATAAAAAATTTCAGTGATCTTATTGGCGTATATAAAAATAAACCTACGGGATGACATATATAAAACACATGAAATTTATGTTCTATAAATAAATTTATATCATACTCTCACACAATAGATTAAAAAATGGATGGAGAAATTATTTAACCGTCACATCTAACGGTTTCCTAATCCCAAAAGGATAGAAAAATAAAATAAAATTATATTGATCATATCTAAAATAATATATAAAAATATCTTAATTAATCTTTTAAATATCATTAATGTCAAGTAGTATCCATTAGCTCTCAATTGATTGACTTAAACCCTTATTTGATCGATTCAATTAAAATTAATCTCTAATCCTCATTTAATCAATTTAAAAATATAATTTAGATTAGATTAGATTTAATTTAAATTAAATAGATTCAAATAACTCATGTTAATTAGAAATAAATCACCTTGATCTAAATTGATCAAATTTGATTTACCTCAATGGGTATAGATCAAACAAAACAAAGGTAATAGGCTAAACTGCATCATGCACCCCACTAGGGTGCATTCTCCACATGAGATTATCTAACCGTCACATCTAACGGTTTACTAATCCAAAATGATAGAAAAATAAAATCATCTTATATTGATCATATCTAAAATAATATATTAAAATATCTTAATTAATCTTTTAAATATCATTAACGTTCAAGTAGTATCCATTAGTTCTTAATCGACTTAAACTCTTATTTAATCGATTCAATTAAAATTAATTTACTTAGAACCTAATTAAAATGATCTAAACTGCATCATGCACCCTACTAGGTTAGATTAGCCCATAACTTTAATCAATAAATGGCAATACAAGAATCCAATTTAGATTGCCAATCTTTCCTTCCACTCCACAAGGAAGTCAATAAACAATGACACTATTTCTTGTGTGTATTCTCCACATGAGAGAAAGAAAAAGGACTAGTAATAATTGGCTTCCAGTATCTGACTTGAATGCCTATTTGTCCTACATAACATTTTCTTGGACAGATAGTGAATCTTCACCTATCATTCAACATGTGAAACAGTTAATATTGAATTCAATTGTCACCAACCATGTTTTTGGTCTCTCATGTCAACACCAAAAATTGGTGCCTTGCTAATAGTCTTTGGCACCATATATAACACTCATACAAGCACTGTTTCTTACTGATTTGACTCAACTTGTTACAGTTGACCACCTCTCTCTCTCTCTCTCTCTCTCTCTTTATCATGGCAGAAGACGAAACAAAGGACAGCTCAAGGCCCTCAGACCCATGGACACACAAGAACCACAAAGGTTGAGAGAGAAGGAAGAAGAAGACAAGGCTCCTCCTCCTCCATCTTCATCGGCTTCCCTTTCTGATGAGTTCTCATTCGCAACCTCACTCCACCCTCCTCTCAACACAGCACCGAACACCCTTAAGAGCCACAGAAGCACGTCAACTGTGGCACTCGACATGGCTGCGGCCGACGACCTCTTCTTTCATGGGCACCTCCTTCCCCTCCACCTGATGGCTCCCCGCCCCTCCGACTTCTCAGCCGAGAGCTTCAGCCTTCCCAAACTAAATTACCAGCGAGATGATACCCACAAGAATTCCGGCGAGAACAAGGAGAGGGTTAAGGCGTCGTCGATGACCTTGTCTTCCTTCTTTGGTCTCGGGAAGCCACGCAAAGGAGGCGACGATAGAGAAAGAGAGGAAGACACGAGGAGAAGGAGAAAGCGAGGATTCGACATGAGCCGGTTGCTGAAGAAGTACACGAGAGTGATGGAGCACCTCTTCTTCTCCAAGGGGGAGAAGAAGAAGCGCGACCAGCGTCGGAGTCTGTGCACCTTCTCCGGTCACTCGAACCACAGGGGGGAGAGAGAGTGGTGGAGGAAGAAGGGACAGCTGTCGGCGCCGGCCTCCACGATGGCGTCTCCCAGGAATAGCGGCCTCCTCTCGGCTTCAGCGATAGCCTTCTCTTCCCCAAACGACAGTAGCATGGAGGAGCTTCAGAGTGCAATCCAGGCAGCCATTGCGCACTGCAAGAAGTCTGTGGCAATGGAGGAGGAGAGATGCAAATCCTGATAAGATAAGAAACACCATCATATATCATGTAAGTGTGATAGAATGGAGAATAAGATTCCAATTTAAATTGCTGTTTCTTTTTCTTCAACATCTATATTGGCAAAGATTCATTTTACTTCTTCTATGGTTCCTTGAAGGAAGATTATAGACTAAAAATATATATATTTTTTTACGCCTAAAAGATTGATGATTCGAAATCTCATCCGATATATTTTATAGAATATTAATCGGACGATAATATATATAACTCGTGTTATAAATTTAGTTAAGTGTTAATGTACCTAACTCACTTATCTTAGATTAAGAGTTCAAAACTCTATCCTACAAATTATTTAAAGAAATATTCAAACAAATAAAAAAAGAATTTTTTAATGTTTATTCTTATTTTTAAACCATGTATAATTCTTCTTCTTCAGATTTCACACATGAAACTGATTTCATTATTTTCAGGATAGGACAAAGAAGATATCTTGACATGATTAAGGTAGGACCCAAGTGGTACATAGATATAGACAAGATCCAGCCAATATCCAACACACCATGGACCCAAACCTTTTCCTAGAAAAGTTTCAAATGCCTTGAATCAAGATGTGCTTTGGAAGAAGTAAAACATTATGACTCCTCCTTCACTGACATTTGATCCAATCATCATTTGCAAAATTAAGCTTCATCAATTGGATCTATCATCCAATAAAATTTCATACCCACCTTCAACTGTTTTCCTTAAACCACCACCAACAATGCATGGATCCTATGAACTCCACCTTCTGTGGTGAGAGTAATTTCATTTGGTACATGGATATTATGTTGAGTTAATAATTATCCTCTCTCTCTCTCTCTCTCTCTCTCTCTCTCTCTCTCTCTCTCTCTATTGGTTCCAAATGTTCACCTTATTATCAACAGTTAAGATCTCTAGAAGTTAGCCTAATGGACAATTCTATTAACTGTCCATGTTTGATCTACTTGTTCCTTGGTGATGATGCCAAGGTATCAAGAATAGGAGAGGAAGATTTGAATATTACTTGGTCTAATCTTTTACTACAAATGCTATGAATGCTATGGATAGTGTTCTATAAAACTTTCTTAGCTTAATATATTGGTCGAAAACAATCTCTTGATGCATAATAATAAGATGATATACATTGTACATCTCCATATTGAATTGAGAGGTGTAGTAAACTTTTCCAGGCCCTGAAATGGTTTAGGAATCAACTCTTGCAAGCTCTCAGCAGGACCCAATTATGCATCTCCATTATTGGATTGAAATAACTGGCACCTATCACACTCATGAACAGGAACATTCACAGATCATCTGGATGTGCTACATCTTAGTTACATGGACAAAAGGTTGCTGGAAAGCACTTACAATTCTTACCTCACAAGGCAAACTATGGACTTCGAGACTGATTCGATGCTTTCTTGCAAGTAGAGAAACCCTAGTTTGCATGCAGACTCGGTTGATTACCAGTCCACATGGGAGGTTGATCTACTGTGCATTCTTGTTGATGCCAGTCCAGGAGTAGATGAGATGTTCATCTTCTTTGATAGTGTTCACATATTGCACCACACACAGCATGAGTATGAACAGTACATCAAAGCACACATGAAGATTACGGTCGCTTCAAACAATCAATTCATGGTAGACGTGCCATTGCTAATACGCCACTATCTTCAAGCCCAGACTCTTCCGAGCAAACTCTGCATCCCGTGCTGCTCTTGATGTACTTAGTCGAAGTAGCTTCGACTTGCAGCAGCTGGATTTATAGGGAAAATATACATAGATCATGTTTCCGGTGGATCGATCACTTTGTTCTTGATCATACAGTACACGTATGGGTGGGTTCTTAGAACAGTTGGAAAAGGTAGGGGTGAAGCTTGGCTGCAACTTTACAGGTACGGGTTGCTGTCGAATCTGTGAGGAAGAGGCATCATGAGGGAATAGAATCATACAAAGCAATGGAAAATAGACTGCCACAGAGCTCGGAAGTCAAAAACAGGAAGCTAAATGATAGATGAAGATTCCATTAATGTTGTGTACTGGTTTTGGATGACAAAAGGCATTTGCATCTACAGACTTCAAACCTTCCTGTCATACTTATCCTAAAGTTTGAATCGGTGACTATATCATACAACTTTGATTATAGTTTGGGTAAAGCTTATTAAACCAAGATTGATTGGTGAGACAAGGAATATTTTTTCTCACCTCGGGGTTCGACACGTGGAAGTCAAGTCATCGATCCGACCACGTCATCATGAACAAAAAATATTATCTGAATATTTTCTGTTTTAATCCATATTTTCCTAAGATAATTAATCTTCTTTGTAAAACTTAAAATGAATATTTGTTTGAAGATAATTTTCAGTAAGTTAGAAATCCTAAGTAGTATTGAGTATGAATATAGATTAAAAGGATTAGCTTCGAATAAAAATCCATCAAGCAATATATATATTTGACATTTAACATGCCTTTACGTAGTGTTCATCTTCACCCACACACACCACACGACAAGCTCGACTGCAACTATACAAATAGGTAGAAGAAACGAAGGTTAATACATGCACTCCACACGAATCTCAAAGACGGCTCAGGAAGAATCGTACTCGTAGATCTTCATGCGGAGGTGCTCGTTAGCGTAAGCGATCAACCTTCCCATCTCCTCCTCCTCGATCACGCCATTGCGGTTCACGTCCGCTTCCTTCATCGCCGCCCGCGCCTTCCACCACGCAAACCACGTGTGCAGGCTTTGCAGCGCCCGCTGCAGCTCCTCCCTGCTGATCCGCCCGTCCCGGTCCGCGTCGAACTGCCTCAGCCACGCCCTGAACTCCCCCGCCGTCATCTCCCTCTGCGGTAGCAGGTGGCTTCGCATGAACGCCATAACACCTCTCTCTCTCTCTCTCTCTCTCTCGCTCTCTTTCCACAGTTCTCGAGGGACAGCTAAGTTTTCTTTCTGATGGATATTTAGGGTTCCTGGTTTGGTGTGGTGGATATATCATGGTGATGCATTGGAAACCAAGTTAGGCATGGAGAATCGATGCTCTCTCGATTCGCCATGAGTTATCTCTTGATGTTGACGAAGTGGAAAAGTTTGATTTCCAGGCAATTGGTGTTGGGTTGGCCACGTTCTTCTCGAGAGGGATTCTCTGACAAGATGTAGGAAACAACACATCACCGAGCTGTCCATTCCCATACGTACTGTACAATCTCAGTCGAGGGAAGAAGCTTTTGTGCTTGTAGGTTCATGTAAGTCATCTTTAGATACAGTAATCGGATCCGATTGGCTGTAACCAAACCCGACCCGACGTGAGTTGCTCTATACCCGAACTCCGTCTTTGATCGAACCGAGTCGATCGCTCGACCGCTGGTACAAGTTAACGGTCGTGATGCGAGTTTGGAAGATTCCGATTCAAAGTATGGTTGGATAGGATCCTTGTTACGGTCTATCAGGGAGGAATGCAGGAAGGGGATACGTAGAATTGACCTAATCCGATGTGTGTGGGCCATCTGGGGTCCACTTTGCTTCTGCTCAGGTGACTGAGTCGGGTAGGAGTTTACGAGTGCCCGAAAAGGTCACGTGGTATGGACACCTATAGACACGTGACCTACCCTCTATTAGAGCCACTTGTGGATCCAATTTAAGGTCCGATTACATGAAATGGACCGGTCTAAGGACCCGATCCGTAACCAAATTGAACACGGCATTCACTGAATTCGGTGGACTTAAACCCCAAATTCCTAAAGATCGAATTTGATCCGATCCGAACAACACATGGATTGACTTTTACGATCGATCGATTGGTTGAAATATTTCTCATTTAATTTTATATTCGTTTGTTACATATAAAACGCAACCGTCGATGAACTTAAAACCGTAACCACAACATTGTTGGCAGATAATGTTCCTCTTCGTCGGGTTTCTTCCGTCGGAAGCCCCTCCGATCGCTTGAAGAAGACGAGCATTTAGTCCCCCGGAGCTCCTACGAAGCATTGATTTGTGCTGCCACTACCACCACCGAGATGAACTCTTGTTCTCCCTTTCCCAATCCAGTCTATAATGCCGCCATAGCTCAACCACGAGATCCTACACCTTCTTGTCCGACCCCCAGCTTCTTGTTGAATCCGAGAAGCCCACCCCATGTCGGATTTTGTTGTACGCACAGGATGCTCTCGCTGAAGAAGAGGAGAAGCTCGAGCTTCCTGTTCGATGCCGTGGCGGATGGTCGATCAGGAGAGGTGGTCGGCACTGGCGGTGTTGCGGACGATGACGACGACGATCTATGTCCGGTTGATTGCGTCAGGGAGTTCAAGACCGAGGAGGAGTTCGCGAGGATCCTGGACAAGGCCAAGGCCGCCGGGTCGCTCGTGGTTGTGGATTTCTACCGCGCCTCGTGCGGAAGCTGCAAGTACATCGAGCAAGGCTTCGCGAAGTTGTGCAAGGGTTCCGGCGATCAGCAAGCGGAAGTGGTCTTCCTGAAGCATAATGTAAGCCCTCTTCTCCTTTCTCGCCCTTTTAGGCAAGTGTGCTTACCGATCTCTCTTGTTTATGGTCTGCCTCTTCAAGGTGGCATGGTTAGTGTTTTTGCTGCAGTCTCCATTTAGTAGGGCAAGTTATTGTAGGGTCAAGATGGCAAATTTCTCCTTCGGTCAATTAATACTAGGCGAAATCCATGGGTCAATTGCAAGTTATATAATGTGTTTTAATTGGTATTAATGGTGCATAATGTTTTTATCTTATTAATAAGATGAGATAGTACTACCCAATTTTACCCTGAAAAGAAAATATAATAATATAATGTTGAAATATGAGAGTAAAACATGCTCAAGTTTTACTAATTTACTTCCATATCAGTAATTCAGCCTTAACCCTTTATATTCCTTAAATCATAAAACATGTTACTTAGTTCTCGATATAAGGATAAAGGTTTTTAATTTGTCAGTTCCTAACAACAAATGTAAAACAATGTGAAAATGTAGATTCTCAAGGAAATGATAATGTGGCTTCATGTAGGATTTTTTCTGAATTCTCGAGAATTGTGGGAATTTCTTAGTAGCAGAAACATCCCTCAATAACAGACTCTATCCTCAGCATAATGAAGTATTAATCCTTTTAACCAAGGTTTCTATGCTTATTTTGTATGGTTCCTTATAGTGAGCATAATGGTATGTGGAAGAACAGATGGAGCAACCGAACAAGATGTCACTTTGACTCTATATCTCAAGCATGACAGTACTACTGAGAGCAACACCTAAGTTATAGCTTTCTTATAATTTCTAGTTGACATACTGAAAGGTGGATCAATTTAATAGCGAGAATGGCCAACATGACACTATGTTTCTACTACATTCAGTGATGAACAATGAGACAAAATGTTAAATGAGTGGAACAGATATTTTATACCAGGCTGCCTCAGACTCCAACATTTGTACCACCCATCTTTAGGCAGTTTAAACAGCTCGATACGTTGCTGTCACTGAGTTTCACAGCACGAACCCAATCAATCCATACGGATGGAACTACTGAAAATATACCACAGATGTCTTGTTCCATTGAGTAACTGACTTCAGTCGCAACCCACCTTCTTTAGCATCACTTTTGGAGCTACTAGTATGGTTTTTTTCCTTTAAAGTGGTAACAAAAGAATTCTTTTTCTTGTTAAAAAATAAATAAAAAATGATATAGATCAAACTCTCTAATTCAAGCATTTTTTATTAGATGGTCATTACACTTCATAGCAGTAACACTGGTACTTCATTTAACATTCTTATTGTATTTGTGAATGGCCTTCTGTCATCTTAAAATATTAGTTTTTTATTTTTTCTTGTGTTGCAAAGTAGGTTTTTCTTTTGTATGCTCTTTTACTGACTTATGAAAGGTATTTTTTCTTCTATCTCAAACTCTAGGTTATTGATGAATATGACGAACAGTCTGAGGTTGCAGAACGGCTACGGATAAAGGTGCATTTACTGGATTTCTCACTTCTTAAATTAGACTCATGACGTTAGAAAGATTGTACGTACAATCAACTGAAAATGTTATGAAGTGCTATACTATCAAATCACAGTATTCCCTGTGGACATTACCATGCTGCAGAACATGCTTTGCAGTTTGCAGAAAATGGATTTCTCACTTCTTAAATTAGACTCATGACATTAGAAAGATTGTACATACAATCAACTGAAAATGCTATGAAGTGCTATACTATCAAATCACAGTATTCCCTGAAAACATTACCATGCTGCAGAACGTGCTTTGCAGAAGGTGGATTTCTCACTTCTTAAATTAGGCTCATGACATTAGAAAGATTGTACATGCAATCAACTGAAAATGCTATGAAGAGCTGTACTATCAAATCACAGTATTCCCTGAAAACATTACCATGCTGCAGAACATGCTTTGTGCCGCCCTACTTGCTGTATTTGACACACTTTTCCTCCACATGGCACATTGGTTCTTCTTAGTTGCTTCACCTTTGAATTCCAGTACATTTGTTCTCACCTTTATGTCTGATATCATCTGGTGTTGAAAGGCAACTTGAGTTCTAAAACAGGGTTGTTCTAATAATGATTGCAAGTTTCAAGTAGATAATATTACAAAACAGCTTCAAGTACATTATTCAATTGCCAAACTGACGGATGGAATTCATGCAGTCAGTTCCACTGTTCCAATTCTACAAGAATGGGGTCCTGTTGGAAGCGTTTCCAACCAGAGACAAGGAAAGAATAATAGCTGCCATTCTTAAATATACTTCCAGTTCCTAAGTGTTGGTGATGTTGCTTCACAGGCTGCAGGTTTGCATTGTTGCACTCATTCTCTTATGACCATGAAAGTCCAGCTTTATAAGTAGAATATTTCTTTCTAGGGAACCTGCTGTTCGTTTATTGAGTAGCCTCTGTTTTCATATGCTTGTACATCTGTGCCATGGCTGCTTCATCTTATTCTTTAGACTACCTGCTAGTTTTGTATGAAAGGCCTGATTCAATGTAGATAATCTGTTGGCTTCCAACACTACATCAGACATTCTAAATTGTCGATTGCTAGTCTAATCACCGATACTCTTGTAATAGCCTCTGTGTAAAATGAGCGTAGCATTCTTGATTCGTTTGGATAGAGGATCACATAATGGAAATAAATGTACTTAAAATATAGTCGAATATTGTGGATGGTGACTTGTTGCTCCAGCTGTTGACTTTTGTCTCTGTAGATGCTTTTTATTATGTGAACATGTAATTAGACTCCTTGGTTAGTCCACTTGGTTGTTGAGACTTGCATGTATCTTGAATGTTCTTCTCTTTGTTTTGCTTTGCATTTGGGTTTGATATTTGTTAAGCATATATTGGGTCATTTGCTAATGGCTTAAGCTTTTGATATTTTTTATCACCCAATTCAATCCTTAAGATGGTAGCAAAACAAGTCATTGAGTTCCACTTATGTATTTATCTTTTTTTTAGTGTTTATATGTATGTATTTTGGTGATATGGTTGGACTGATGAATACTTGGAGGAGAAGGAAAGAGATGGAGTGATGGAGGAAGGAGAGGAAGAAAGACGAAAGGAAGGAGGAAGAAGACCGAGCAAATGGAGAAGAAAAAAGGCAGAAGAAAGACGAAAGGAAGGAGGAAGAAGACCGAGCAAAGGGAGAAGAAAGAAGACAGAAGAAAGACGAAAGGAAGGAGGAAGAAGACCGAGCAAAGGGAGAAGAAAGCGAAGAGTATATATATATATATATATATATATATATATATATATATATATATATATATATATATATATATATATATATA